ATGTTGGCAAAAAATGTGTGGTTGAATTTCTTTCATTTTTAATAAAAAGAGAGATATTGTATCCCAGAACAAAATTTCAAAGTTTCAAAACAATTGAATTTGCAGAAAATTTTGGCCTATCAATTGTGTGCTACCTTAAATAACTTTATGATGATTAATATCTTCTTGGTTTTTATTTTTTTCTGAATCTTAAAATTAAGAAACAATTGAAAAATATGGATTTTACATCTACAAAAATTGAGTTTTATCAGCAGGAGGCACCATTGTGGTACATGAGGACGTGAATGCAGCATGGAGAAAAAAGCTCATAGTTTATCTGACTTCCCTGGTTTACTGTTTCCTGCACTACATAGATATATAAGTCCAATGTGTGTAAGAGTACTGTATTTTGTATGCTTAAAATTATCATGAATTGTGTGGGAGCTTTCAATCCTTCCTCAATAGTAAAGTTGGAAAGACTAGATTAGTCATTGCTAAAACTGTCTCTAATATCTAATTTGAATTTACTAGTATTTAAGGTCTCCTTACACACATACTTGACAACTTGAATCAGTAAGAGTCCTTAGTTCTGTCAGTGGTTGTTACGGGCCTGCGAATAGAAGTAAAATGTTTAAGGTGGCATAATAAATATATACAATGATTGAATGCATTCACATATCATAAACATGATTTTACCGAAAGGAATGTATTAATTAACTTTTCAGTGAGAGTGCAATTTTCTTTTGGTGGCGAAGAGTTGAGATTCATTGTCGAAGACGTAGCCATACGTCATGGAAAACCAGGGGAACAATATAAAGGTCCATGACAAATCTTGCCTTAAAGGTCTTGAGAAATACAAAAAAAAACTCAGACAGAATAGTTTTTATATTCAACTTCAATACATCTAATTTCTAAACATAAAAACCATTAGCATATATCGTCAAAGATAGTACATTTTCAACATTTTTTTCTTCATTTTTACGATAGTCAAATATGTCTCACCTGAAATCAGGTGCTTGTAAATTATTCAAAATACATGTATTTCAAAAAGAGATATATTTCTTTTATAGAATGAATTTTTAAAATAAATTCATCCTTACAATCTTTAAGGCCACTTCTACCCATAACATTCCCTTATAAAACCTAGTACCTCTATTATCCTTTTTTTTAAAAAAAAAAATAAAAAGTAGTTTTCAAAACGTAAACATGAGAAGAAGTTTCTTGTTGTTGCCTTTCATTCGACATTTGATATAGACGACGTTTTTTTCAAATACGAATATTCATATTCATTCCAACTTCATCTGAAGTATTCCACTGAACTAGAAATGAAAGACACCACAGAGTCTTAACATCTGTTTCATATTTGGATATTTTACTTTAAAAAAGACGATAATAGCAAACTAACAAAACTTTGATAAACATGATGACTTCAATTTTTCTATCGTCAACCTCCTTTATTTTTGTAGCAATATACCGTTTTCACCTGCAAGAACATGCTCTACGTACGAACAATTTCTGAAACGAGATTAGTTATTGACAAACAAGTTGATGAAACAAGAATATCAGCAGTCTCGTTTAAAGTCATCATTTTGTAAATTCTCTGGTCGATACAATGACCTTGTTAGCAAATACAATCCATCGTTTAATCGAATGTCGACTGACGTTTTTCATACTAATTGTTAAGGCATTATTTTCACACTAAATTGTCTACGGATTTTTCCGTTTGCCCGATCATGACAAGATGCACACGGCGGCTGTGACCAGTCGACAGGGGATGCTCACTCCTCCATGGCACCTGATCCCACCTCTGATGTTTTAGAGGACCATGTTTGCTCTTCTCCAAATTAGTATAATTCCGATGGACTTTTGACCTTGATTACTGTTCTTTATCTTCATCTTTATCTTATTTCATCGTCAACGTCCCTAATTCTTGTAGCAAAATACCATTTTTACATATGGAATTTACACCATTTTTAAATATGCAGTTTATGATTCCCATCTGATTCGAGACGAAAAAAAAGCATGTTTTATGTACGATCAATTTCTAAAACGAGGTAGGCTACTGTCAAATACATAGATGACTCAAGGATATTAGCAATATCGTTTACAATCAACATTTAGCAAATTCTATTGTCGATACCATGAACTTGTTTGCAAATACAATTTATCATTAGGTCGAAGGTAGGTTGTCTGACATCTTTCATAAAATTTGTAAAGCCAATAATTTCTCACCGTATTGTGTACGAGGTTTCAGTTTACCCAATCACAACAAAGAGAACAAGGTGGATGTGACAGGTCAACAGTGGACACTCACTCCTCCATGGCACCTGATCCTACCTCTATTCTCAGAGGTCTGTGTTTGCTCTGTTCACAACTTGTATTGTTTAATTAGACCTTTAAGCATGATTACACTTCAATATCTTCAAATTTCATTGTGCAGTTTGATGATAAATGACGGACCCAAACTGAACACATTTTAGAAAATCAGCAAGGGATATAAGAACATTTGGATTTAGGTGTTTGTTTTTGATTAAACAAAATTCTGACGTTTATTTGCTCCATGCTACTTGTGTACATAATTGATCGCAACGTCATTGAGTTTCTCACACACGCTCTTTTATTCAGATTCGGGATTGGTTATTTCTGCAGCAAAATCTTTTGATAAATTAAATTTATTTTAATTCTTGTAGATAAGTTTTTTTTAATTACCAACTGGCATCATTTTCCTTAATATTGAAGAGATAGCAAACAGGAATGTAAATTCTTTCATTCCCTTTGTTGTGGATAATTCAGAGGGTTGCTCTTCAACACAGGTATTACAGAGTTAAACATGAAAGTCACGTTATCAGAAACAAATGTCTCACACAAAACACATCATAGGACATGTTGGATGTTCAATCAAACTGGATCCATAATCTAGGCTATCTGATCAATTTCATTTGAATGGGAGGGGGGGGGCTTAAGCGCGGTATTAAATTTGTCGGCACGGCCGGGTGCTGTTATAGGACCGACGACATCTAAAAATAAGAATTCAACGCTTAAATATAAACCTTCTGCATTCAAAATTACGCTCTATATCTGTAACGCAAGAAAAAGAAAACCTAGGACAATCAATCTCAAACTAAGGATTAGACTTGATGATAATTAAGAAGTGGCGAATAATTACATTGCAAAGACTTTAACTTAATGATTTGTCACAAGAAGAATGCAAGGTCAAGTACGAAATTTCCTTATATAACCTAAGGTTTGTTAGAGTAAGAATGCAAGACAAAGGTCATTGGAAGAAAAAGTACAAACTTTCTTTATAATCTAAAGGTATGTTACAGGAAGAATGCAAGACCTAGGTCATTGGAAGAAAAAGTACAAACTTTCCTTATACCCTAAAGGTATGTTACAGGAAGAATACAGTCAAGGTCATTGGAGGGAAAGTGCAAAATTTCCTTTTACACTAAAGGTACAAGGTTGTACCTAAAATATATCATGAATTTAGAATTCCTATTACAAAATTTTTAGTGAGAAATCACATCTCATATAAATATAAGGTTGTGAACATAGATGATAGTATTTCTTTCAGGAAACTGGAATTTAATTCAACAAGTGGTATTCCAACTTATACCCATGGCTCTATTTCTAAGTAAGAAATTCTTCAAAATCATATGTCAGTTTTCAATATTTTTAATATTCCCAGCAACAAACATGGCGGTAGTGACCGGTCGGCAAGGGATGCTCACTCCTCCATGGCTCCTGATCCCACCTCTGATGATTTGGAGGTCCGTGTCTGCTCTGTTCCTATTTTCTATTGTTTAATGGACTTTTGAGCTTGAATACTGTTCGTTATCTCCATATATTTCATGAATTTGAATTACCATATCTCGTATATTGGATTACGAAACTTCATAAAATTCCTTACAAACAAAGATACATACCGGGTTCCAGTAAATGATCTACCAAGCCTCTTTCTATACTCCTCGCTAAAATATTAACAGCAGTGAATGAGAAACTTCAGGAGTACTATGGAACAATGTATTCGAGAATTGGTGTAAACCATATGTGGATACTTAAAAATTCCAAGGAACATTTGGAAAATTTGAAATCACAAAATTTTACCAAAATCAATAACATAAAAACTTACGACTTTTCAACTTTATATACAACCATTTCCCACGATAAATTAAAGTCCAGCTTTTGGACATCATAGACAGCTACTTTTTCAATAAAAAGGAACTCGTAAATTTACTAACCTTGTCATTGGTCATTTGCAAAATTATTTTGTTAATAAACATTCTGATTGTACACATAAGTACTGTGAAGTTGATATTAAAAAGATGCTTGAGTTTCTGATTGACAATATCTATGTAGTTTTTGGAGACCAGGTCTTCCAACAATCTATTGGAATTTAGAGGTCCGTGTTTGCTCTGCTCCCAAATTTGTATTGTTTAATAGACTTTTGAACTTGATTATTGTTTGTTATCTCCATAGATTTCATTTCATTGAAATAATATCTTATGTGAGTAAATGTTTTTAACGTAGGAACAGAAGTTTTTATATTCGTTTAAAATAAAAAAAAATGTTCATCGGCCAAACAATTGTAAGAAAATAACATGAGAATCTTGTATCGGTCGTGTACTGTAGATCACCAAATTTTCGCGACACCTTATTTTCGCGAGAAAGGTATTTGGTATTAATAAGCGAAACAAAATTTTCACAAATTCTGGTCATGTTTGTCTTTAAGCTATTCTAATAAAAATTTACGCGAGAATAAATTTTTCGCGAGCAGACAGTCTCGTGTAATTATGTGAAAATAAAGTTCTCGAGAATAAAAAGCGATTTATAGTATAAGTAGATGACTTATGATTTTTGGAAAGTACCTTTAAACACTCTTAGTACTCATGTAAGGTCAAAACTTAAAGAACCCTTGTTTAAAATTACCTTTTAATAATAGATTTTATTTCTACTGTGCGATTTATAGACCTTCACCTTTTCTTTAGCAAAATCAATCGTAAAATCCATTTAATACAACGTTTAACTCTTTCAATAAACATGCTTTATTTATAAATAACTTAAATCACAGAGTGAATCAGAAATTGAGGGGTTTCCAATCATTTCCATTAGAACCACTCCTTCTTTCAGAGTTTGGATTAGATGACAGATTTTTCGAGTCTCTCCTCCCTGTGTTAATCAGAGGGGAGCCTGGCCGTGAAGATCTGGTACTGGAATTCCCCGCTTGACTTGACTGTGTGGACTTAGGGCGAGATGTGGAACTGGGGTGACCAGAATTTGGTCGGAGGGTGGAGCGCCCAGAAATAGGGCGGGAAGATAGGCTAGAATTCGGCCGGGAAGTTTTCGGTGATTGTGAGTCACTACTTCTTCGGTTTTCTTTTAATTTTTGAAGTCCGGAAGTTGGACGTGCACTTGCTCTCCTGGATCCGCTCCCTATTCTCGAGTTCTCTGTCGCCATCTCCTGGGAGACAATTTCAAGGTCAAGTTTTAACTTAGAGTGTCCCTCATCATCAAAAGAGTCGTCCGCCTGCTGTCGTTTGAACATCCGTTTCTGTTGAATTCGTTCTCGTTCCTTTGCTTTGTCTTTTTTGTCATTGTACACGGATTTGAGTTTACCCTCTTTGAGGGCCTCTTGGAATAAGTCCACGCGCGCCCTGAATGTGGGATTGCCGTCCATTTTCTTTTGCATCAATCTCTGAAGTTTAATTCGAACGCGTCCGATGTCTGTGTTTTCTATGTCAAAGTTCCAGTTCTTTGAGGCATTGTGCATCTCTCTTTCCTTCAGCTTGTACTCTGTCTTGGCTTGCATCACTTCCCTGTCAATACAAATCTTTTTTTTAAATTCTTTGAAGATTTCAATACTAAACATTTCTAAAGAAATAAACATTTTTAAAGAAATAGGAATAAATCAATCAGACAAATTCAAAAGATTAAAATTCTGAGTTATAGGATTCACATTATCCAACTTGTTGTGTGTTTACTGAGCATCCCCTTCTCAGGGGTTTGGTGATAGAAATCACACAGCTCTTTGGATAATATCCAATCTCAGAACATCCTAGATCCTTTACATATTGGATAACGTAATAAAACAGAGTATCTTTACAGTTAAAAAGTGTCTCATGTCTGAGTTCCTTCACCCTCATACATAACTTTAAAAGTATCCGATTACACCAAACAGGAACATTTAACACACAGGAGCCAAAATACTCTGCAATATAGCACTTAGAATAATCCCAAGATCCCCACCACACAAATTAAATAGATCCACCACAATATAACAAGTAATAATCCTTAGATTCCCACAAACATCTAACAGGATAAATAAATAAATAGATCTATCGTGATGCAACAATTCAATTTTAAAATAATGTATAATAAATTTTCCTACTAATAAAATAGATTGATAGATAAAAAACATAAAAATATATCGTATATAAGCTTACAATAAAAAAAATGAATAGGCTAACGCTTAAAAGTCTTTAAATATTTTATGATACAACATTGAACAAGTCTACTAGAATCCAACACTAACGCGATATAGTATGATACAACACTAAACAGGTCTGCCAGAATACAACACTAACACGATAGATTACGATACAACACCAAGAAGATATGTTGTGACTAAAAACTATATATATATATATATATATATATATATATATATATATATATATATATATATATATATATATATATATATATATATATATATATATAATCTACTGATATGCTGCACAAGAATCATCAAATTATTTACAGATCTACAAAGAGTAGGTAAGTAGTTATTTATAGCTACAGCACCATAAACCCAAAGCTCGGACCTAATGCGGAATAGTTACCACTTGTCTTTGTCCTCGTGAAATCTACTGCAAAATGAACGTCACGTGGTTATTTCAAAAGATTTATAATGATGTGCTTATAAGCAATATACTTCTGATGTGTGACCATTGAGAACATATTATTTTTCACGTACAAGTACATTTATTTTCTGTTTAAATTTACTCTAAAAACTATTTTTCAGTAAATCGACTATAATGTCATATTTTCCTTTTGAGCAAAGAGGCATTTCTGTTGAAGGAGATATAAATATTGTAATTATAAAGGACATAGCCTACTTGCTGCTCTAAAGACTTCTAACAGTAGGTCCCTAAATCTATACTGAAACTTTATGTATCCAAACTGATTTCTTACTTTTTATTGATTCTTTTGGTGATTAATTTATTTTTTAGACCTACCTTCTACGAACTGATTTCCTATCTACTAACAATTTATGAAAAGTTTCATCCATTCAGTATCCACCTACTCACTTCAGTAACCTACATACTTCCCATCCACTTACTTATGTCCAAATCATTTACTTAAATCTATGCAGCAATCTTTCTTCACCATCGACCCACTAACTCAATTTCCAGATAATAAATTAAGTTCCAATCACGGTAAGTAATTTAAATTCAACTCACTAAGAAATATTTTACCTTCTCATATCCCCATTCCGATAAATAAATTCAATATACTAAGTTATATGTAATACGTAAGCTCGATATATCCCAGTGAACTAAAATAAAGGACACCAAAGAGTCTACCACATCTGTTTCATATTTGGATGTTTACTTACTACAGACGATACCAAAAACTTAAACGTATGACAAACGAGATGGCTTCAGCTTTTCCATCATCATCTTTCCTTATTTATGTAGTAGTAATATTCCACTATCACCTGCATATGGTGTTTATGTCTTCCAACTTAGTCAATAAACAAGAACACGCTCTGAGTACGGGTCAGTATTTTTAAAATTCTATGGTCTTTACAATGACATTGTTTGCAAATACAACCTATCACTGGGTCGTATTTCATACCATTGTTAGGCCATTGTTTTTATACTATTTTGACTTCGGATTATTTCCTCTACCTGATCAATACATAGGGATGTAACCGGTCAACATGGGATGCTTACTCCTCCTACGACCTGATCCCACCTTTAGAATTTCCAGGGGTTCGTGTAATATGTTCTTTTACAGATTTGTATTAGATATTTTTGAGATCGATCAGTTTGTTATCTTCAACTTTTAAATCTGTCCACTGCCTATATTCCAATTACTTATTTAAAATCGGTTTCTTGTCATCTAATTTTAGAGATGCCAGCCAAAAGACCTCTGTACAGTTTCTTAAAGTGGATCTACTTACCTGAATTTGCATTTTATTTAAATCTCATAACTTCAAATAAGCTTGCTTACTTGAGATCAATTTCTCCATCGCCATCTACATCCAGTTTTTGTACCATGAAATCCAGACAACGATCGGACAACGGGATACAATACAACTATAAAAGAAAACAAACCATGAAATCGAGACAACGATTGGACAGCGGGATACAGTACAACTATAAAAGAAAACAAACTATGACATCTAGACAACGATCGGACAGCGGAATACAATACAACTTTAACAAAAAACAAGTTGTTTCAAAACAATAAACATTGGGATATCATGATACAGAAAGCAAACAGATACATGAAAGTGCAAACAAAGAAATATTATACAACTGAGACAACACTTGGATGCAAAAAGCAATTAGCGGCACAAATAATAAAAACACCGATAACTGTAGCCTAGTGGTAGGGAGCTCGCTTCGTGATCGGGAGGCCCGAGTTCGATTTTCGTTGCCGCGCCGCGTCAAACCTAAGACGTAAACATAGGTAGTGACTGTTTCTTCGCCAAGCGCCCGGCACTAGAAGTGAAAGTCACTGGTCTTTCGGATGAGACCTTAAAAACCGAGGTCCCTTGACACGGTAGGCGTTGGCACATTAAAGAACCCTCACTGCTCAATGGCCCTGAGTGCCAAGTAGAGGTCTAAATTTGAAGTCTAGTGAATACATTGTTTTCTGTATCCCATTGTTTTGTGATGGAAGATATTTTTTTTCTGTACCCCACTGTTTGTTTTTACTATTTAATATCCCACTTTGTGCCTCTGTTGCACGATATTCTATTCTTCTTGCTATATTTGTTTTCTGTATATAAGTTTGTTCACTGTTATTATAAAACAGCAAAAACATACAGCGAAATACAGAAAACGAACAGTTGGATATCATACAACACAAATCAAATGGAGTCAGAAATCAATAGATCATAAGTTTTTGAAAATCATTTTAAAAAAAGTCTTGATATAGAGGGAAAAAATAGAACACAAACACTCGGATATCAGACAAAGGGAAAAAAAGAGAAAAAAGAAAATGCAAAAAACAAACCCAAAATGGATATTTTACAATGGAGTGAAAAGCAGAAACAAACTACAGCACAAAATATATTATAACCGGAAAGCAAAAGGTAAATACAGAACACTAACAACTGGATATCACACTAAAGAAGATAAATAGATGTATATAAAAAACAAGCAAACAAACAAACAAACAGAACTCAAAGAATGGGATATCATGTAACAGAAACAAACAATGGGATATGAAACAACAGAAGACAAAAGCTGGGGAATAAAATAGAAACCGTGAAATTCCATACATTGTAAATGTGATTGATCTCATTAATCCAGTAAACAAAACTAATCGTGAACAGGGCAAAAACAAGGACCCCTGGAAACACCAGAGGTGGGATCAGGTGCCTAGGAGGAGAAATCATCCCCTGTTGATCGGTCTCACCTACCATGAGTCCCATACAACAGAGAAAACAAAAGATGAGATACAGAAAACAAAGACCAAGACAAACAACGGGAATCCATACGATAGAAAAAGACATTGGGATAAAGAAAACAAATAGAACTATATACTCCAGAGCGTGGACAGTTGGATGCGAAAAACAAGCAATATACAGCAGAAACAATGGAATACCAAGCAACAGAAACAAACAGTAGTAAACAATAGAAAAACAATGGGATGCAAAAAAGAATAGAGTGTAAGCAATGGAACTAATAATGTGGAATCATACAAAAAGAACATTATGAAACAACAGGAAACAAATAATAGAATTAATGGAAAATAAATGGATTACTGAACAGCTTAAACATACGTTGAACATATTTATGTATTATCATCTCCATTATTTAACCCTAGTTTCAGATCAGAGTTCGTTATGTTTTCATTTATGACACCTTTAACATGCACCTTTACTCCAAGTATACATGTCCTAAGTATTAAAGCTGACGCCCAGTTAAATTTTGCCTCAACCTTAGGCCCATTTTAGCAAAGTCAACACCCAGACAACTCCTGACACCCACCCTCAATCCAATTTTTATAATATTTACATTATCATTTGCAAAGATATTGCAATATTTATTATCATTTTCTGTATTCCAATTTGTAAAAATGCTGTTTAACCAGTTAAAATCAATGGTTTGTATTTTTGCTTATGTCTCAAAATAAACGTTTGCTTTGAATTTCAAAGTGTAAAAACTTGAGAGTCTCTTTATAAAAGTTATATGAATGTAAATACATACAAACTTCTCTGTTAATTTAAGTATGCTAGTCTAATCAAAAAATAAATGAAATGTCAATTTCTCAAGTCATTTTCTTCTCTTTTTTTAGATAGATTAACTATGTGTAAATGTGGATTATTTTTTAAAATGGTAAATTTTCAATTGCACTCTTGTTTTTAATTGGATAGTTATTTTATCTCTATCAAATACGACTAATGGAAACTCCATTTTGAATGCTACAAAAATAATTTATTTTAAATAGCTAAGCATCTTAAGAAATAACGTAATTCACTGCTGAAATTACAATGTATTCGTTCTATATGTGTGCAGAATATAATCTCTTCTTTCAAGGGTTACCATACGTGTTTTCTGATCATTTGAATACTGTTCTCTCAAAATTAAAACATTTTCTTTGTTTTCCGTGTTTAAATCTCAGCCGTTTTTTTTAAACTGTTTGGGACACTTTAACAGACTTCGGATGTTTTATCTTTGTTAGCTGATAGTCAACTTATGCCTTACCCTAAGTCCCATTTTAATCTCCGCTTTGTCCAGTGACATGCTTTTGTCCTTGTCAAACGTGGACAATAGATCCACTGGCCGGAAGCCCATCAGGCGAGCGAACTCCATCAGTACCAGGGTGGGGTTCTCCTGAAGCAACCCGTCCTCGTCCTGATCCCCGTCCTTGGGGTCCTGACCCCGGACCATACCATACAGGATTTTTATCCCCCGCTCTGTGTCCAGTTTGTGTGCTGCCTCCGTAAACGATGGCTCTACCAACTGGGTCTGGATAAACAAAGAGAAGCATTGCTATATTAATTTTTCGGACTTTTTCTTCTGTACTATTGAAAAAAGATCTAAATTCTATCTCATGGATTATACAGGTACAAGGAAGAAATGCCAAAGTATATGTATATGCAGTAATGTAGCGTGTTCAGCTGTGATGAGGTTATGTTCAATATCTGCTATGATGCAGACCCCAAGTGTTCCTAGCGCCTCCGCTAGATGACGCCTTACGTGAATATCGATTTCCTTCAGTCCTACATCCGGTCGCTCCTCGCACATGTTAAGCACCAACTGCGCACCTGGTGACGTAATAGGATTCCAAGCCAACTACAAAAAACAAAACATTGTTTCTACAGAGATCGATACTGATCACTTTGATACACAACTGAATCCCACGCCCGAGTAGTATGAGCTCGCCCACATGTTATTAGATTTTATAACTTTGAAGGCTATTGACGATATTATCGTGTTTTTTCCCTCTCCATGAATGACATTTTCAGGTACATGTAAATTGCGCTTTTTTATGACAATTTACTTCAAAAGTCAAATAATAAAGCATTCAAATAAATTTACAAAAGTCTTTCATCTAAATTGTTGTTTAACAAGATATTCATTAACTAAACAAACAGAACGAGTATCGCTAACTTCTTATTGCTGTGTATTATAATTGGTGTAGGGGATTTTTCTCTTGAATTGCATTTTTATCATTGAAATCTCTTGTATACAAAAATAGTAATAAATAAAGAAAAATAATATTTTTCACTAATTTCGACAAAGCTATATTTAAGAAATAAATGAGAATCTGCATGTGTTCTGTTCTTTTTGTTTATTTATCGCAATGTGAAAAAAGGATTTTTAAAAATTCATCAGTGGTGATGGTCCTTGTGCAACAAGCGATAATAACAATACAGATCCTAGACATAACCCAGGAGTTTGGAGAGTATAGGTTAATTTTTCAACTTAAACTCGTTGAGAGTTATGTTTCTTTTCCTACTTTCGATAGAAGTTTCCAATCGGTACTTATTTGATCAACATGTACATGCTGTTGTGTCCTTCCTCACCCTGAGTGTTCTGAGAGTGGTGTTCTGTTTGAAGCCTTTCAGTAGCTTTTCCAGACAGTCTTTGTTAATTCTGTTACAGTTCAAGTTAAGTTCCTGTAACTCTGTGTTCACCAGGAGGGCGTCCGCCAGCTGTTTACAGCCCTGCAGATGAAAACCATTCCACGACACGTCCAGGACCCGCAAACCTTTATTTTCCTTAAATTGAAGTGAAACAAAAGTCAAGATTAACATAAGGATTATACTAGAAGCAAATACGTGTATATATCAGAAATATTAATACTCAATTTCCAAGTTATTTTCATTATGATATTCCAAAGATGTAACTTTAAAACTTGCATTTAAATGAAACAACAATAAACGGAGATGTGCAAAAAATGACTTTTAAGCATCAGCTAAAAAGATGAAAGAAAATAAAAGCATGCTATAAATATTTATTCCTCACACATGTAATGCAATTTTTGTACACATTCACGAATAACAACTAATTGCAATGCGAAAGAATCTCATTAAATGCTTGATTAAAAAATCTGATACGCATCTCCAAAAGTACTATTCTCGATCAATTTTTACATTGTGTGGGTTGTTAAATATTATTTGCTCGTAAATCCCACCGATCCTATGATTTAGAGATTCTTCAGAATCTTATTTTTTGTCATACCGGTAGATAGTGATGATTTAAATTCAAAGATAATATTTCATTATGGATCATATGCAAGGACAGACAGTACAAAATGAATATGCGAGGGGATAATTTTTGTGTTGCTGTGTATCTTACCTCGAGTCCTGCAGCAAGTTCTTTAGCACCTGTATTACGTAGATGATTCCAGCTTAGATCAAGCACCTCAATAGTATCGTTAAATCCTTAAAAAAAAATATAGCACCTCAATAGTATCATTAAATCCTAAATAAAATATAGAACCTCAATAGAATCGTTAAATCCTAAATAAAATATAGAACCTCAATAGTATCATTAAATCCTTAAAAAAAATAGAACCTCAATAGTATCATTAAATAATAAATAAAATAAAGAAATTCAATAGTATCGTTAAATCCTTTAAAAAAAATATAAAACCTCAATAGTATCGTTAAATCCTAAATAAAGTATAGAACCTCAATAGTATCGTTAAATCATAAATAAAATATAGAACCTCAATAGTATCGTTAAATCCTTTAAAAAAATAGAACCTCAATAGTATCATTAAATAATGAATAAGATAAAGAACCTCAATAGTATCGATAAATCCTTTAAAAAATATAGAACCTCAAAAGTATCATTAAATCCTAAATAAAATATAGAACCTCAATAGTATCATTAAATAATGAATAAAATAAAGAACCTCAATAGTATCGTTAAATCCTTTAAAAAAAATATAGAACCTCAATAGTATCGTTAAATCCTAAATAAAATATAAAACCTCAGTAATATCGTTATACATTTGTAACCTAAAGACAATAAAGCACTTCTAAAATATCGTCATAACCTATCGTAAAAATTGAACCTCTAGAGTATTGTTGTAGACTATAGTAAATATTGGACCTGTAGAGTCTCATTATATTCTATAATATATAGAGCAGCTCTATAAATTAATGTTATAAATTATTGTAATTATAGCACCTACAGAGTATCGTTAAAACTTATTGTAATTAAGTCACCTCCAGAGTACTATTATAACCTATAAACCTCTATAGTATTGTTTTAACATTATTTTAAAAATAGCACCTCTACAATACCGTTATAACCTAGTATATATAGCACCTCTAGAGTATCATTATAACCTAAAGTAAATATAGCACCTCTAGAATATCGTTATCAGCAAAAGTACTAGTAAAAAATACACCTCCAAAGTATCGTTATAATCTATTGTAAATATAGCAATTATAGAGTATAGTTATGACTTATTGTAAATATAGCAACTATAAAGTATCGTTATTACCTATTGTAAATATAGCAACTCTAGAATATCGTTATAACCCATGTAAATGTAGCACCTCTAGAATATTGTTATAACCTATTGTAAATATAGCGAATCGATCTAGAGTACTGTTATATTCTAAAGTAAATAAAATACATTTAGAGTATTGTCATAACCTATTGTAAATATTGGACCTCTATAATATTGTCATAAGGTAACATTAGAGAAGCTACAACACCTCTAGAATTTATTGTATTCATTCAGCTACATGAAATATGGATATAATAAACAGTATTCAAGCTCAAAGTCCATTTAAACAATACAAATCGGGAGCAGAGCAAACACGGACCTCCAACACCAGAGGCAGGATCAGGTGCCATGAAAGAGTAAGCATCCCCTGTCAACCGGTCATACCCACCGTGTGCTCGTCATAATCGAGTAAACGGAAAAATCCGTAGAAATTCTAGTGTGTAAATAATGGCCTAATTAGTTTGAAAAACGTCAGTCAGCATTTGACCTAAATTGTATTTGCTGACAAGGTCATCGACCATAGAAGGGAAATGATAACTTCAAACGAGACTGCTGATATCTTTGTTTTATCAACTTGTTTGTCAATAGCTTGTCTCGTTTTAAAATTATTCGTACGTAGAATATGATCTTGGGTATCGAATCAACTGGGAGACATAAACCCCATATGCAGGTGATAAGGGTATATTGGGTAAGGGTATAATAAGGGTATAATAAGGGAAGTTAGAAAGTTGAAGACATCACGTTTATCTTAAAGTTTTGTTGTTAGGTTACAATTAAAGTCTTTTTCTAGTAAATATCCAAATATGAAACAGATGTGTCAGACTCTGTGGTGTTTTTTTTATTTTAAGTTCAAGTTCGACATATGAATGGAAGTAACTATTGTTAATTGAAAATACGTCGTCGATATATCTTAATGTCGAGTTGAAGCCACAGCAAGTGTTTTCTTCTTCATCACTACTGTATTGTTTTAACTAAGAATAAAAATTTCTACTTATTTCTATGTGACATTATGACATTTATAATGTCAGCTCTAGCAACTCCGTATTACGCTGTGTTATATTGAAGTAATATAGTAAGTACTTCTATTTCTATGTGACATTGTTTTATTTATAATGTCAGCTCTAGGAAGTCTGCATTACATTGTGTTTTACTAAGGTAATTATAGTAAACACTTCTATTTCTACGTGACATTGCTACATTTATAATGTCAGCTCTAGATACTCTTCACAACTTTACGTAACACTGTGGATATTAGCAAAAGATTCGATCTTTTTTCTGATGCGAAGCTAGGACCCTTTATCATCATCGCCATTCTTATAACCTCAGAACTATGAAATTTCGTTTTTACTCAAAATTTTGCTTTCCTTTATTAGATCTTTGCTCACAAATCAACACTCACCAATTAGCTCTCCGAAAATTTCGCCCCCAATCTCCCGGAACTCATTGTGACTGAGAATTAATCGCTTCAAATGCTGAGTTTCCTTGGAACACACGAGTCATATGAATATACAGTAGTGAAAGAACAATATTAGTATATAAATATTTAACGATTAATATTATTTTTTCTAATTTTTAAACCTACTTAAAATTAATTAGACTTAAAACACATGATAAAATATATATGTAGACATCATAACAAACGACTCATACCTCAAATATTCCCCGAAACTCCTCGGCATCTTTCTCCTTTAATCCAGTACCTTGTAAAAACACGTGTTTATTCATATTAATCACAGACTGAGAGCAAATTTCGTTTCATTGGTCAATCTTTACGATATAAGGGTTTTTGATTAGTTATTCAATTTTACTTGTAGATCTATTTTTTTTTTAAATTTAATATGCCAGAAGATTTTGACAGAATGTTGGCGTGTTGTTGTTTGATTCATCATCAATTCTAAGTTAAGATACTCTAAATTTTCCAATTTTATGGAATTTAAACTTGCAAGGATTTTTTCCCTAACTAAATGATAAATAAAACATAGAGTTCTTTCAAGTCTAATTGCTATGTCTCCACAAATATATCAGAGGAGATATATATTGGTTTCTGCATTTTTCTGTTACAAAATCGTTTTTGCCAAAACTTTCAAATCCTTTATTGGAATAGGTAAAAAACGTACGAAGATATTTTTCATAACCTAAAGGTTTATTATGATCCTGAAAAGGGGGTTCCCTGTATTTAGGGCCTTTTAAGCAATCCTTGTTGACCGGTCACGCCCGCCGTTTGCCCCTTGACATATACTGCAAAATCCGTAGACGATTCAGTGTGAAAATAATGGCCTAACAATCGGTACGAAAGACGTCAGTTAACATTCGACCCAAAGATAGGTTATGTCTTTGTATTGACCATAGAATTTGCAAAATGTTAACTTTAAACAAAATAGTTGATATCATTGTTTCATCAACTTAATTGTCAGTATCCTGTCTTGTTTTAGAAATTATTGGTATGTAGAACGTATCGAATCAAATGAGAGACAATAACCTGTGCAAATGCAGGTGATAATAGTATATTGCTAAATAAATAAGAGAAGTTGGCGATGGAAGGAATTCAAACATGAGTTCCATGATAAAGCTATTACTTTATGTAACGTAAAGGGGGGGGGGGGGTAGGGCAACAATGGGCGATCATAGTTTTACATAGGAATACATCGGAAAAAATCTTTACCTAGGGCCACAATGGGCGATCATAGTTTTACATAGGAATACATGGGAAAAAATCTTTAAAAATCTTCTTCTCAAGAACAGCAAAGCCATGATTGGTCATATTTATATGGAAGCATCCTCAGATAGTGTAGATTCAAATTTGTTCAAATCATGACCCCGGGGGGTAGGGCAGGGCCACAATGGAGGATCAAAGTTTTACATAGGAATATATAGGAAAAATCTTTAAATTTTCTTCTCAAGAACAGAAAAGCCATAATGAGTCATATTTACTTGGAAGCATCCTCAGATAGTGTAGATTCAAGTTTCTTCAAATCATGACCCCGGGGGGTTAGGCAGGGCCACAATGGAGGATCAAAGTTTTACTTAGAAATATATAGGAAAAATCTTTAAAATTCTTCTTCTCAAGAACAGCAAAGCCATGATGAGTCATATTTACATGGAAGCATCCTCAGGTAGTGTATATTCAAGTTTGTTCAAATCATGACCCCTGGGGGTAAGGGGGGGCACAATGGAGGATCGAAGTCTTAAATAGAAATAGGAAAATATCTTGTTCTGAAGACCTGAAAAACCACGAGTAGTCATTTTGATATTGAAGCATCCTTAGGTAGTGTAGATTCAAGTTTGTTAAAATGATGACCCCCGGGGATAGGGTTGGGCCACAATGGGGGATTGAATATTTTACGCAGGAACATGTAGGAAAATATCTTCTTCTCAAGAACTGAAAATCATGTTTAGTCATTTTGATATGGAAGCAACCTTAGGTAGTGTAAATTCAATTTTGTTCAAATGATGACCCAGGGGGGTAGGGTGGGGCCCAGTGGGGATCAAAAGTTTTACATAAGAACATATATAAAAAATATTTCTTCTCAAGAACAGAAAAGCTATGTTTAGTCATATTGATATGTAAGCATCCTCAGGTAGTGTAGATTCAAGTTTGTTCAAATGATGACCCCTGGGATATACTGAACTTATTTGTGCTCAGGTGAGCGATGTGGCCAATGGGCCTCTTGTTTGTTTTTTGTTTTTAGGTCACCTGAGTCACTCAGGTGACCTATTGCTATCCGTTTTTGTCCGTCGGCGTTCGTCGTTCGTCGTGCGTCAGTGCGTTAATATTTGAACATTTTTAGCTTCTTCTCTGAAACCGCTCAACCAATTTTGGCATATAGCATTTTAGATGTGTCACAACATTGACAAAAGGTCGCACCATGTTTCCAGGTCAAATAGTGGTAATAGTGGGAATACTAGTAATTTGGTAGGAGAATCCAGGTTTTTTATCAATTCAATTGTAACACCTGCTATCTTGTGCAATGTGGATATAATATTAATTTGTATCAACCTTAAAATCACATATGGTTGAACAGAATACAATTATTCGTCGCTTTAACAATAATTAATTTTATCTAACTATGATAAGTTCTCACCAGAGAGATTAAGACTTATAATGTTGTCTAGTTGTTCCACAACTTCCAGAATTGGCCTTATGCCTTCTATGCCCAGCTCGTTTTCTGCCACCGACTACAAATATATGAGAATATAGGTCAGTGTTTATGAGAATATAGGTCAGTGTGTATAAGAAAATAGGACAAAAGAAATGAAAAATGATTTTTTTTAATTGTTTAGATATTTGAGGAAAGGAGGGCTAAGAATTCTTGTACTTGGAAATCCAAAATAATTAAGGTATTATAAATTTTATAAAAATCTCTTTTAAAATATTTTATTAAATTGCAGTGAAAGCAAACAACGGATTTTTTACGTATCGTTCTGTCATTTGGCTCCGATTGTTATCACAAGCACGATTATGAATTACAACAAAGCAACGAGATTCGCCCACGAACTTCTGATGTTTATGATTTACCATAATATCGGAGATGAAAATAATCATCCTGTTTTTACCATCTGAAGACCCCTTTGGTCGTTATTTAAATCAGTTGTGTGGGGGTGAGAAGAGATAGCTGACGCATTTGTTTCTACATCTTAGAATCGAATCCCTTTTTTTTAATGAAAAGAGTCCATTGATTTTTTATCTTTACTTTAAAATAAAAAATAATCAATAAATTGAGATGAGTTCTATTAAAACATGTTATTATATTTTTATGACTAAGAAACAGCTAGATTCCCGATTGATGTTCTAAGACGCCATGCATAGAAATCATCAAGAGTAAATAATAAACCCACTCAATAGTACTCTCTAAGTCGACCAATGCTATCAACCGATCTTTGATCATTTAAATTTTCTTTACCTGCTTAATTAAATGGATATTTACTACTGCTTATTGACAATTCTTAAAGGAATAAAATCCACCCAGAAAAGAATAAATAAAGCTAATTCTGAGCTATATAACTAATTATTAAGCATCTCACTTTTTTTTAAAGTTTTTTGATTGATCGGCCAACCTTCGTCTTAAAAGTGTCTTTGCACCATGTGTACGCTACCATACACTGACCTTCATTTGAGCGCAAAACGCTTGATAAAAGTTTCAGAAAGAATCGATGTTACATGATATTTACTCTACACTGTATAAAATAGTCCAGTAGTACGTAACATCGGTTACAGTTTATTCTTCGCTGTTGGCAGAGAGACATACTCGCTTTTACCTATTTTCTGAAAAGTGCAAATTTCTCCTCAGGGTCTAACTATTCATGATAAATGATAAAAAGTTACAGAAATGCATCTGTCATAATTCTGATGATTACTGATTTCTTTTAATGAAGAAATTCTTAAAAACACCTAACGGGTATTGGTTTCTTACAGTTTTTTGAGACAAACAAAAAATTATAACAAGAGGCCCATGGGACACAACGCTCACCTGAGTCAATATGGCCCTGCTGTTCTTCGTCAGCAGATTTCTTCTCCTATATTTCTCCTATATATTCATATATATTTACATTTCCAATATATTTCCCCTATAATTCTTTACAAATAAGAATACAGTTCATTTTCTCATGAACTACCATGCATGGGCATGAATATCTCCATTGTTACGTCATAATACCTTACATGACGTCAAAACTATAGTGCAAACTGTTTTGCTTTAAAAATGACAGTTGAGTGGCGTTATCTGTGACAAATCATCAGAAAAATAATGTAAATATAAGAAATGAATTTAATTTTTGAAGATTCACGAGGTACATGAACTACAACGCTTCACGCCGGCATATTTATCATGAAGCGCTAACGCGCTTCATGAAATATGCCGGCGTGAAGCGTCGTAGTTCTCATGAATCTTCAAAAATTAAATTCATTTCTTAAATAAAGCTTTGATCGCCTGTTCTAGGCATACCCTACCCCAAGGTGCCATGTTTTGAATGAAATTGAATATACACCTTCTGAGGATGTTTCTATCTTCATATAACTAATCATGATTTTGCTGTTCTTTAAAACAGAATTTTAAATATGTCTAACACCTTACCCTTGGGGAAGGGGGGGGGGGGGTCATGATTTGAACAAACTTGAATGTACACTACCTGAGGATGCTTCCATATCAATATGACTGATCATGGCTTTGTTGTTCTTGAGATTGAAGAAGATTTTTAAAGATATTTCCTGTATATGTTATTTTGTAAAACTTTGATCCCCCATTATGGCCCCACCCTACTACTGCCTTGAACAAGCTTGAATCTACAATATTTGGGGATGATTCCATATCAATATGACTAATTGTGGCTTTGTTATTCTTGAGAAGAAGATTTTTGAAGAATTTTCCTATATATTCCTATGTAAAAATTTGATCCCCCATTGTAGCCCCACCCTACCCCAGGGAGTCATGATTTGAACTAATTTGAATCTACACTACCTGAGGATGATTCAATATCAATATGACTAATTGTAACTTTGTTGTTCTTGAGAAGAAGATTTTTAAAGAGTTTCCATATATATTCCTATGTAAAACTTTGATCCCCCATTGTGGCCCCACCCTACCCCGGGGGGTCATGATTTGAACAAAATTAAATCTACACTATGTAATGAAGGTTTCATATAAGTATAAACTTTTCTGGCTCAATGGTTCTTGAGAAGAAGATTTTTAAAAGATGACACCAAATTTTCACCAATTCTTAATTATCTCCCCTTGGAAGAGGGTGTGGCCCTTCATTTGAACAAACTTGAACCCCCTTCACCCAAGGATACTTTGTGGCAAGTTCGGTTGAAATTGGCCCAGTGGTTCTGGAGAAGAAGTCGAAAATGTGAAAAGTTTACAGACGGACGGACAGACAGACGGACTACAGACAAAATGTGATCAGAAAAGCTCACTTGAGCTTTCAGCTCAGGTGAGCTAAAAAGAATGCAAGTCTCCACTTAAGTACTTTGATTTTGAAATTTCTGAAAAATGTTTTAAACCTGGCCTCCCAGATTCTTATTTCAAATCTTCCCAGACAACTCCATACAGTAGACTTATATGATACCAGATCCCTACTGTAACCGTAACCTACAAGACCACTGCTGTAAAGCTGAGCTACCAGATCCCGACCTCCAAATCATTACCTATATATATACACGATCTACTAGATACCTGCTTTGAACTTTACCAATCAGATCCTTTTTTTAAAACCTTAACTACTAGATCCTTACTGTAAATTGACTTGCAGACTATACTTCCTATAAATCTGCGCATGCAGAACCAACTCTCTATCTTAAACCTGATGTATCAGACCCCTACTGTAAATTGACTTGCAAACTACATCCTGTAAACGTCGCCTGCGTGGCGCAGTAGTAGAGCGTCTGCTCTAGAGTCGTGGAGTAAGGAGTTGATCCTTACGTCGCGGGTTCGAATCCCACTATGGGACGTGGAGACTGGTCCTTCAAATGAGACCATATAAACTGAGGCCCCGTGTCGCAGTAGGTGCTGGCACGAAAAAGATCCCTCACTGCTCAATGGCCCTAAGTGCCGAGCATAGGTCGAAATTTGCAGCTCTCCACCGCGGCAAATGGTGGCGTCTCCATATGAGGGAAAAATTCTTGAACGGGCCGTTAAACAACAAACAAACTTCCTGTAAACCTGTGCAGGCACAATCAGCTCTCTATCTTAAAGCTGATGTATCAGATCCCTAATGTAAACAAGCCTGACCAAGTACTGTAAACAAGCCAAACCAACTCCTTATCATAAACCTGGTGTATCACATCCCTACTGTAAACAAGCCAAACCGAGTACTGTAAACAAGCCAAACCGAGTACTGTAAACAAGCTAAACCAATTCCTTATCATAAACCTGGTGTATCACATCCCTACTGTAAACAAGCCAAACTGAGTACTGTAAACAAGCCAAACCAACTCATTATCATAAACCTGGTGTATCACATCCCTACTGTAAACAAGCCAAACCGGGTACTGTAAACAAGCCAAACCAACTCTTTATCATAAACCTGATGTATCACATCCCTACAGTTGACTGATATGATGTCTCCTTTTTTTAAATTTTTATCCAAATTAAGGTTACAGATTCCTCCTGTAAGCATAACATACCAGTCTCTACTGTTAACATGACATACCAGTTTTCTCCTATAAACATAACATGCCATTCCCCCTGTAATCATGACATACCAGTTCCGTGATGAAGTGGTTTTCTCGTAGGAGATCAGCAATATGGCGGGCTCCATCCGCCCCTAGATTAGTGTCCATTAAATCCAGGGTTGTTACTGTTGAGTTACTCTACAACAAAAATAGCATTTCATTTTATAAAGATAGTGTTTTAAGTGTCAAATATATCTTAACTTTTCAGTAACTTCTTTTCTCTCTGACTGGACTACTTTATTCTATCTATAAAGTTTCACAGCACTCGACTTTCTATTGCCTAATTCTAAATACAGTTTATTCTACTCCACCGTGTTCCTTAAATAGATCAAACCCTCGTAATTTGAGCAACATTGTTCTTTTTCAGGTTGTAAAAAATGGTGAGGAATGAGGTTACGCACGTCATGGGGATGTTCTGAGGTCAGAGAAAGAGGCGAAAGATCAAGGACAAAGACAGGGATAGGAGTTAAAAACTAGGTTACGGGCTACAGATTATGGCGCGTGGACAGAAAAAGAAGCTCATTACAGAGTCATTGTTATTACTGTCACAGTGTAACATTTGATATTTCAGTGTTATACTTGTTATACTTGCTGCAGAATTCTAAGTGACCTTTATAATACATGACCAGATGGATAAAACTCAAGGTCATAGATATCCATAGGTTCCGGATGTTTGGGGCACAGTTTAAAGGTACCATTCAGTTCAGACTGGTAAATGAATGAACTAACAGATTGGTCAGAGGGTCGATGTTTGTGAAAAAATACATTTGAAAAAATATTGATATATTACTTTGAGTGCTTTCAGTCTCAGTGATGCATTACTTAGAGATGCTTAATGGCAAGAGAAAAAGGACAACACGATTTTCAGTTTGTATCCAGGATGTGATCAACATTTCATTATTTGTGGAGATGGGCCTTGGCAGAAAATCACTTGGCGATCGAGGGGTTTTCCCGCTTTGGTGTCCTTGATTAAAGAGGAAATTGTTGCATGTTAAAAGAAAAGGTATAAAGAAATTAATTTGATCAGTTCAGCATTAGGTTTTAGAAATGATAAAAATCAAACGATTTTCAGACACAATACTTTAAATAGATTAGATTTACCGAAACTTCATATGAGAGAGAAATTATTATCATTTCATCAATTTAACAGTTTTTTTTTTATTGTCTTTTCGGTTAAACGGTTGATTTACAGAAATAAATATTCTATAACGGTGATCGAATACCGCAGATCAAATTAATTGGTTAATGCTCCAGCCAGTTTTATTGCAGTGACAGGCTGATAGAAGAGATGACGTCATAGAGTTAGAAGATGCTCAGCCAGACAGTAAGAAAATAGAATATTTAATAGACACTTGTTATTTCTGGCTATCTTTATAGAAAATTATACCATGTTCAATAACAATGAAATAATGACTGTAACTTTAATCGCTGATATTTTTGTAAAGGGTGGAATGAATTCTTATAAAAATGGACATAGCTCCATTTTCGAAATCAAGATGTATTCTGTCAAAATTTTTCACAAAAATATAGTATACACCTATTTACTGGCTATGAGGACAATAGCAAGTTTATCGTCCCCCAAGACAGCAACTATTTCCCGAGGCGCAGCCGAGGGAAATAGTTGCTGTCTTGGGGGACGATAAACTTGCTATTGTCCGAATAGTCAGTAAATAGGTGTTTTATTATACCGAAGCCGACTTTACTTGTGTTACGTCACAATCTGGATAAAACCAGAAGAGCTCCGAATTGAAAAGCGAGGGAAACGGAATGCTGCCGGTGAATAGTTTGATGACTATTTCACCATGGGCTAATAGCACAAAAACTATTCCACGGTTTAAAAAAATAGAAGATTTATTCGTCATATTTTTATATAGAAAAAATTCACAGAGGTATAATAAAACACAATAAAGACGTAAAGCGTCTATTTAAATTGCACATTACTTTCTAGAAAATTACTAACTATTCTGATGTAAGATATATTTAAAAGGGCATTTCTGACATTATTTCTATAAGAATAGCAGTGTAATATTGTTTCGTTAAGGTCAGATGACACTTTTCTCATATATAATATTTTCCTAGAATGTGATATTGAAGTTTTCCTTCTTTTAAAAACTTCCTCACAAAGAATTGGGGCACTTTACCAGATGCAAGATTTAGGAGGATGTTATTTCCTATATAATCCTAGAGGGAATTACTTGAATTGCTCATGTCACGATTTTTGGTTCATATATTATTTTTTCCAGGCATTTTAAAAACTGCTAAGAAATCAGAAGATAATTATGTTAATCAAAGTTTTTGGTATATTACGAAGACATGCAAAATCAGATATTTGAGGAATGTGTCGTCAGACCTTAACATCTAAATCTTATGTGGGTATTGCAGCCGATGGAAAAGTGAAAGAGGGACAGTCCACGGAACTAAGATTCTCCCTTTTTGTAAATTGGGTGCGATTTTTCTTCAGTTCGTTGTGTGTTTTCTATCTCCTAGCCAAGGTACGCACAACTCGATGGATGAAATTATTTCCAATAACAAAACATAGGCGTTCCTATATAGATGTAGATTTTTCTTTAAAATGTTGACGATTAATATTTTGATTTTTTTCTGAAACTATTCTCATTTGGTCATTTGTTCGTAAAAATCCAAGAAGTCTTACAAATCTGTATACATTTCAATGAGAAGTTCTTACATATCATTGATTGGCAGTCATGACAGAAAATTATTATACCCCTTTCTCTTTCCCCTTTAAGTGAGGCAATGTCCCACATTTGTATAAATTCCATGGACAAATTGCTGTGGACAAGTAGTTAGACAACTTCGATCACGAAGAGTTTGGCTTAACTGAGCTAGAGATGTGACATCAGTACATACCAGAAGCGCCATACAGCAAGCTTTTGTTCCATCAGGACCAAGGAAGTGGTGACGTAATTGGATTTTTTCGTCCCCAAGATGACGTATAAAGGTTGACGCAGGGATTACGTCAAGGAACTTACAAGACCGGATGTATAATTCCTGGCAAGGGGTGCGTTTGATTATGGTCTTTGGGTCTGTATCCTCTTGTATATCAGCTGCAATCAGTCAATGGAAATTTTTGTTAATGTATTTGGACGTAAAATAGTGATATATGGTGATGAAAATATAATTTCACAAGGGTGGATCCAGTGGAGTTCTCTCTAGAAGAAACGAAAAATGTTATTTATTTTATTATACAATAACCAAAATCATACTTCACCTCCTGAAACTTGCTATATGTATTTAATGTTATATTCTTTATGGGAGAGGGGTTTGTCAGAAAATAAATGTTTTGGGTTTGTTTTATTAAAAATCAACACTCCTAATATGGTAATTGCTCGAGCAGGAAAACATCTGCACTCGATGTCATCACTTTAAAAATAAAATAATTTTAATTGAACACTAATTAATGTTTAAGACGAAATATGTCAACAATATTACGGATTCTTTAATAAATTTTGGCATCTCCACTGTAAGAAAAAAAATCACAGAAAAAACTTTTCATTCTCAGGCTTTTGAAAGCTTTGGAAATCAACCACCACCAACAGAGCACAGGGAAATATGTAATCCCTTCCGTCACCACAAAACATGTATACAAACTTGAAGTGACGGACTCCAGAGGCGGATCCTGTATCAAGACATCAACTTGGGGTGTGTTCGATAATTTTTCTTCTGTCTTGTTTTCTTTTTCTATAATGATTTTGTTCTTGATGATATATGAATATCTAGATATATTTACATATCAGAAATGATTTTATAAGGGTCCACAAATATTTATACCATCGTAATCAAAGTCATCAGGGAATTCCTTCTCGAAGTCGATGTCGGATGTACCATGACTATGGTTGGACTCCCCGCCCTCGCTTTCAGCACGAGACTCTGGTCGCCGCTTCCGTTTGAAGCCGAGCACGCCCTTGAATCTTCTGGTGACGGGATTTTTACACTGTCGGTATTTGGTGGTTAAGGTGTAGGACTCACAGATAACAGGTCGGTTTGCGAGATTCCAAGTGTCAAACTGAGGAATTAATACATGTAGCATTTGATAATTTATACATGTAGCATTAAATAATTGATACATGTAGCATTAAATAATGTTTCACTCATTTCTATTTTCAAAGCTGTCGCAAAATGATAAAAACTTACTAAATTAAAACTAATTTCTAATTAAGAATATGCATGTAATGGAAAGATATTGAAAGTGATGTAAATGAAGAACAGGTGAAAACGTGAAAATAATCCTAGACAAAATGACAACTGTACATGTATACAGATTTCTCTTTGAAACAAAAATGCCAGTGACTTTTTGGCATTGACTTTTTAAACAATTGAACTGGGTATTTAAACTTTAATAATAAGCATATGCACCGTCAATGACGTTAGTTAAATGCAAATGAATTTTTAAGCTACTTTACTCAAATGAAAATGTAAGATTTTAAAGTGTGTTCAGTCTTTATTAGAAATTATTTAATTCTTAGATTATCTTTACCTGTGGTGCTTCATTTGCTCCAAATAAATTGGAAGATGGAAGTCTCATGGACATAGCTGTTGTTCACTCGATTAACTCCATTGGTTTAAACGTTGTTATAACCCATGCTGTTTTCAATTAAGTCGTTGTCCTTATTATTTAGGTTTTCTGTAGAAATAACATCCATGTGCAAATATTTTCAATCATTGCTTCACTTGTTTTCATAATGGAAATTTAATCTATACTTTCTCAACAAAGGACTTTGAAAAGTTTATAAATTTGTTTACAATGTAATCAGAAAATGGAAGAGTACGCTGATTAAATGAAAACAAAGAGTTAAATGTCGAAGAGACAAAGAGTGCCGTCATGTGTGGTAGACAGTCCGTTCCCACCGCTTTGTTTTGAATTGAAACTACAACTCTACGGACAGACTAACATACTTCCTGAAGTTATTAACACTAACTTGGGTTTAATTATAGAACAAAATTATCATCTGCAAAGGTCCTATATGATTATCACTAACAAGCTATTTTTAGTGAACAAAAATTAAAATGGACTTATTTTATTCGTCGATTATTAAACTTAGCCTTGGATAAACCTTCAAAAGACATCCACAGAATGTTTAACAAAAAACACACATGTATATTATCAAGACTTCGAACCCCCCCCCCCCCCCCCCGCCAACTATCCAACTATCCCCAACCATCTCCACTCTGCGAAGTAAGTTGGAGGTAAACAAAACATCAGATGTAGCGAAATCTTTGATGATATATAAGTGTATACTTACAGATTTCTGCTTATTCTGACTATCCTGTTAGCTGAAGGACGTCACATTTTAGTGTATTAAAATTCTGTGTGTGTGTTTGCGAAAGGGTGATTAAATCTGCGTTAATCCTGATAAGCCAGAGATTATCCCTCTAAACTCTCGCAACAAATTAATTCTCTGTGCGGGAGGACCTGTTTTGTCAGGGATAAGAGGCGTACGTCTGGGAGATGAGTCTATTTTTATTTACCCTTTGTACGTTATTACAATCTATAGAGCAGTTTTACCCGATCCTTAAACATTTTCAGCTTTATTAATGTGAGATTACAAATTAAGTAGTGTACTTGACACTTACAGATGATTTGATAATTTCTTTTACAATGAAAATGTTGCATTGTTCGGCTACAAATATCTTAATATCTGGCGAGACTATAAGTAAATCCTATATCTGTATCAACAATCATTATTTACAAGTTACATGTGATTTCAACCTACTAGTACAAATTATATAAAATTGATTCCACTTCTTCACAGATAATGACCGTAATGTATGATTAAGTTGATAAAGTATATATAATATATATATATATATATATATATATATATATATATATATATATATATATATATATATATATATATATATATATATATATATATATATATATATATATATATATATATATATATATATATATATATAAAATTAAAAATTCTCAAGAGGAAATCTAATTACATTTTCAAGTTCAATATATTCCCCCATACCAGTCCTTGTCCATTGATAAACCTTGAATTACTTGTAATTCTCCTATCTCTGCTTTCGTTTTTACTAACATGGATATTTTTGAATTTGAAAGCTGTCATAGGATTGCCTAAACTCTTTGCAGGCCTTTTAAAAGTGTCCGAAAACATACCATGAAAATTAGTTATATGATTCCTCTACCTTTGTTTTACATTCTCTGAAAATTTTATAAAATTCGTCTGCATCGTTTTTATGTAATTAAATCCCAAAGATGCCATTGTTGTAGTAACATTTTCGACGTTATTGTATTGATTTATATAGGAAAAACGTCGATTTCGGCTCGTTTTCAGGCAAGATTTTTTTTCAAAAAATATCATTAACTTTTAAATGGTGCAGACGAAATTGTTCCCCTTTTGGTATCTTAAAATAGAATTAATTTGAAATAAATCTATGTGAAAAAATTAATATGTCTTCGGGTTTGTTTTCTCGTAATTTAAATGTAGATAATTGTTTTTATATCGCAAAATGTAACATTTTTAAGAACGACGTCATAAAATATCGCGACGTCACGCTTGATGTCGTGAATATCGATCCGGTATACAGAGCAGAAATTTTTAATTCACGTCTATCTGCTTTCATATGTTCCACGAATCGCATCATGATAATTCAATAGCAATGAAATGATTATAAGACATGTTTCTCTTCTAATATTCTTTGTACGTCTCATATTAGTGAAAATTATCTCAAGGAACGTAAAACGACAATCAGTCCTTTAGTTTCTTTCTTTCAACGTATTTTCTTTATGTGTTGTTTTCTTACCGTTTCTTTTTGTTTTGTTTTGTTTTCTTTTCTTTTTCGTAGATAAGTGTCCTACATTTGGCTGTGTATTTTTTCAGTGTAATGTAATAGGTGTATTTGCGATTGTTTATATAATGATTTCTTTATTAATTAAATAATCTGTTAATTCAAATACGTTCAAAGGAAAAGAGGTCAGTTGAAACTTGTGCCCATATCGCTTCGCGATACCATGTGATATCTTATCAATCGCAATTTCGCGGACCTTTCCGACAAGCTGAAAATTCCGAGCTCTCCGGGATGCGATTAATAACACAAAATGAAACGCTTTCTAATACTCCAAGTGTTGGATTCGAATCGTAATTTAAGCCTTCATCATATTTGATAACTTCAGTTTGTTCTATAAATAATATTACACTAAACTACCATTTCCAACAAAAGTTATATCTAAATATTGTATCGACTAATATTCAAATCGTAAAAAGCCTTCATTATTTGTGATAAGTTGTGCCTTAAATAATATAACAATAAAATACCAATTCCAACAAAAGTTATAGCTAGACAAGGATGTACTGAAATTTCTTTTTCATTGTGACGTCATAATCAAATGTGCACAAGAAAGTCGCCAAAACCATATAAATTGCGTACCCAGTTTTAATGACGTCAGCAAACCCGCGACCTACGTTTAGGTCAAGATCTAGTAAATGACTTTAGACAGTCTTTTCGGTGCTAGATCCATTATGACGTCATAATCAATTTAAACTTTCCTTTTTCCCTTACTTTACAGCTCCAATAGAATTATTTAGAAAATAAAGTATTTTCATGGCATTCAATATGAAATCATGTGAAAAGTAATCCCGATACCTATATTCAATTTTACATTATTTTAAAGAAGAGGCTAAGAACATACAAATTACCGTTTTCTGAGAGACTGTAGGCAATCTGAATACATTCCCTTCGTCTGATATGGAAAAAACTCCCTTATTCGTGACTGGCTTTCTTAATTTTTCATTGAAAATGACAGTTTACAAGATGGTTTTTCGTCTTGTTTTCTTGCAAATTATGCCCCGATACACCTTATTTGACCGAGCTATAGTTATAAAGCATCATAAAAGGAATTCATTTCTCAAGTTTGAGAAATCTGTAGGCTCTTTTCATTTACTAGATCTTGACCTTAAGTTCGCCTAAAAGAAAAAAATACACCTTTACCCTTATTGAACTAGACCGTCTTGTCGAAGTCCACGTACACTACATGTTTTTTTTTTCTTTCATTTTTTCATCATTTTTTACGAAGGCCGGCGAGACTCAAAAAAAAAAATCCGGATTTTCTCGTGATTAGGAAAAACTATCTCGCATTTACGAGAAAAAAATTTATCAATTAAAAAAATAACGTAGTAACGAGAAAAATTTTCTCGTCATTACAAGGAAACTTCTCGGTGTACTATGGTCAAAAAGTATATACTCATTAGATAGATCTTTTTTCTCGTTATAAGGCAACATAAGAGACATCTGTGAGCCGACACACCCACATGTTTTCTATATTTGAAGTATGTTGAAGACAGGTGTTGATTAAGGATGGGTCATTATGCCAGTGGATCAGTTTGCGTGTGGGTAGCGAGCAACAACCTTTGCAGCATCCACTATAGCAGATGCTTGAACAGACAGCGATGATTAAAATCGGGTGTGTAAGGGCAGAGTCTTTATTCCTAGATTCAGATGCATTAAAGTCCACCTTTGATTTATAGAAGAATATTGGAGGTAGAGCATTTTTTAGATCGTGATGTGTAGACTATTCTGATGTTCACTGGTACAGAGTTTACGCATAAGATGTACATTAATCTAAACAACAATATACTAGTATTATTATTTCTAAAAATAATTTTTAGAAATTTCTTTTCAAAAAATTATAAGCCGACACCTAAAACTTTCGAAAAAAGATGGGGGAGGTGGGGTGGGGTTCAAAGCAAGGTCCAAGAAGCCTGGGTGTACAATCGCCACCGTCCAGTTTCTGAGATTTACATGATCCGACCAGTCCAGACAGTGGACATGAATTATACATGGATATTGTCAAATAAATTACTATTAAAAATGCGGTATGCAAGGTGTTTCATCCAGCGCTACGTTATTTCGTAACACACTTTCAATGTAATATAAATAATGTGTTATGAGCAGCTTATGCAATGTTTTTGATATACTTAGAAAATCTTCTTATTTTAAAAAAAAGTAATTGAAAAGGGATTGTACAACAGACAATTTCTCTATCCTATCTTGATACAATTTTCAGATTTATAGGGACGTTGGAGTGCAGTCCCACCATATTGTATATTTTATAATTTTTTCCATAAAAAAAGCAACAAAACATAAAGTTTTCATGGTTTATCCCATGAAATTCCTTAAATGTAAAATTTAACATTTGTCTTTCCAATATCAATAAAACAAAACAGATATTATATATTGTATAAAATATGATAAAGCACTTTACGTCAAATATCTAAAAAAAAAATTCAAATTTAAGACATCGAAAAACCACATTCCATGCCTTTGCACCCTGGCCTTCACTAGATATAACGCAAAAGGTGAGTACAACGAACTGCTATCAATCTCATATACATGTTGTAAACAATACAAACATGAACAGGGCAAAACTTCGACCTCTGGAAACGCCAAAAGTGGAATCAGGTGCCTAGGAGAAATAAGCATCCCCTGTCGACCGGGCCCTCTGTAATGATCTTGTGAACGGTATAAGAAGATGACGAACAGTAATCATGTTCAAAA